TGGGCCGGGGAGGCAGCCATGGCTGGGGTCCCGCTGCAGCGCTGCAGGAGGGAGCTGTGCCTGCCTTGTCCTGCCTTGTCCTGCTGGGAGGGGACACCCCGCCAGCGCCACGCTGCAAACACCACCTCCCAGTGCCTGGCCCAGCTCCTTCCTCACCCTCGCCTTGTGCTTCACTTGCAGGAGCCTGATGCCACGAACGCTCGACAGCCAGATCACGGTGGAGAAGACCCCCAGCTACTTCGTCACCAAGGAAGCGCCACGGCGGATCTTCAACATGTCCCGGGACACGAAGCTGATCGTGGTGGTGAGGAACCCGGTCACCCGGGCCATCTCGGACTACACGCAGACGCTCTCCAAGAAGCCGGACATCCCCACCTTCGAAGGGCTGTCCTTCCGCAACCGCAGCCTGGGGCTGGTGGACACCTCCTGGAACGCCATCCGCATCGGGATGTACGCCGTGCACCTGGAGAGCTGGCTCCAGTACTTCCCTCTCTCCCAGATCCACTTTGTCAGCGGGGAGAGGCTGATCACAGACCCAGCAGGAGAGATGGGCAAAGTCCAGGACTTCCTGGGCATCAAACGGGTTATCACGGACAAGCACTTCTACTTCAACAAAACAAAAGGCTTTCCTTGCCTGAAAAAGTCGGAGAGCAGCGGCTTGCCTCGCTGCCTGGGCAAGTCCAAGGGCAGGACTCATGTGCAGATAGACCCCGAGGTGATCGAGCAGCTTCGGGACTTTTATAGACCTTATAATATCAAATTCTATGAAACAGTCGGGCAGGACTTCAGGTGGGAATAAGCGTCCAGGAGCAGAACTGCGGTGATGTGAGGCTGCAGTCTTCCATGAGGAGGGGGCTGGAGCCAGGACCCCCCAGGCCAGCCCAACCTGCCCAGAAAGAGGCAGGCGAGGGGCTTCTCCAGCCCTTGGAAGGCCGGGATGCTCCGGGGCGATCCGAGATGGGGGAAGACACAGAGTCCTGCCGCAGCCACTGAGGGATGAGTGCCCAGCAGGCGCTGCCCGTCCCGGCAGGTCAGCAGGGCTGTGGCTTGCTCCGTGGGGTCCCATTTGCTTTCACTGCCACACGGTCCCTGGGGCCACTACCATGGCCCCGTCCTGCAGCCTACGCACAGGCTGCTCCGAAGCACATCCCTCCTCTGTGTCCCAAAGCAAATGGGTGCTCCTGGAGACCCCCGACTGTGGGCAGTGGCCGTGGGGCTGTGCCTGTGGGGCCACGTCCCGCCGCGGGGCTGGGGCAGGCAGAGCTCCGGGCGTTCCGCTTTGCCTTTTGTCACGTAAGCGCAGTGTGTAACCATGAGGACAGTGAGATGTATCTGCTTGAAAAAGAAGTCTATGAAAAATGTTGTACCGATACCTTGTCCTGTGAATAAAGCACAGAATCCTGCTGTTACGGGTACTTTAGTGGCACTAGATTCCTTGTTCAGCATGTGATCCCTTTGTGTAAATAAAAGCGGCTACCACCGGTCCGGATGCATGGGCTCTTCTTAGGGCAAGGCTGAGCAGCCCCGTGCTGCACCGCTGCCCA